ATAAGAATGTCAATTCAGATAGATCTTAGTCTGATTAAAAATCCTGATTTCATAATAAGTTATAATCATTGAAACTGTGTTTACAATCCAAAAACGATATTTATTAGGCAACAACCCAATATATTTTCTTGTATTTATGTGAAATGAAAACAATATTAATTTGATGTTTCAAATAGTGACACCAATCCTTTAGAAACGGGCCAAACAATTGACACCAACGAATAAGGTCGATTCAACTTGTTTAAAATGTAATCCAATTCACTTACTACACCTTGAAGCAGATTGGAAGGAAAGATTTTCGGTTATTGCGTTCGACATAGGCTGTTTTCCATTTTCAGACCAAAGTCGCACACACCAAGTGGGTCAGCCGACTACAAGCATCTGAGAGACGTTGAAAATAACATTGGAATCGGGGGCGACAGCATTAACTTGACTTGCGCCCACTTGCATCTTCTCAAATCCGTGATTCTTTCGCGATGAGTTCGCCTTTAAAAAGGGGGCCGCACCTGTGTGAATTGACATTCATATTCTCCCTCAGTGTAGCGTATCCTATCGTATTTTAATTACGTTATTGCGCTCGATTGCATCAATGTTAAAACCAGCTTACAATGCTTGAAAGTAATCGAAGTTACTGAATGTTTCATTGTATTGATTAATCACCAGACATAATGACTGCTTGTGATAAATAATCACGTATCACTGTGGATACATTGTACCTCATCAATTAGTGTCCCCTTTAAAAGAAGGTTAATAAGTCTTTTAAAATTAATTTGTTAAATCGGATGTTGCGCAATGTATTTGGGTATGTCGAATCGAGATCTTGTAGTAACCTTGTTTTTGATATTTCCACTCCTCGGCGATTTTATTGCCTGGGAAGATATTTATAGTTCTATACTGTTTTCCTGTAATTTACACGAAAGATCAAACTGTACTACAACATTTTTAATACTAAAATATGTTTAAAGTATCCTTTAAAGCAGAAGATGTATGAATTGTAAAATAAAGTGGGTTGTTACTTAATTTTGAGCTTTACGAGTTCCTTAGTAAATGACATAAATTTTCTTTTATTTGTAATTTCATCTAGTGAATTATTTTTTGTAAGTACGTGGTTATCTGTGGTGAAAGTGAATGAAGTGATGTATTCTTTATGCATAATAAATAATATTCTATACGATAGTCGTTAGAAGATTTCTTCTTACATATCTGTGTTCCGTTCATTATTCGTATTGGATGCTGCAATTCTTTATCAGCAATGCGATTACTTTCTATGCACTTACACAAGCAATATACACATCTACTGCAATTCTCACATATTTTAACTGTATGTTCCTGTGCTATTAATAACTACATAATGTAGCTATAACTATATTTCAAATAATGTTTCAAAAGAGAAATCTACAAATGTTCAAAATAAATTCTTTCATTAGAAGCGGAAAGTTAACTTAACCAATAATTTTATATTTACTGTCATGAAATGTCTAAACATGACAGTACATACTCTATTATATGAATATGTACATCAGAAAGAGCGTGTACAATTAAATATAATCAGTAAAATACACTGTTCTATAGTGAACCTCAGATCTAGGTTGTATACCTAAAAATACAAAGGGAATAGATGATACAATTGAAAGAAAATCGATTCTATATACAGTAACAAAACGATGAGAAAGAATACAATTTTTATGTATGGAATTTCATTTTGAAGAAAATTCATTTTGAATATCTGATCAATACGACCCTATCTGGCTTCGATGATGTGCTACTACAATTACCTTCCACTGGTGTCAATATTTATAAACATTGTCAATAATATTTTAATATTTTTGTCCAACAATAATTTAATAGAAATGATATAGTAAAATGTATTAACCCTTCCAGACCTGAACTTTCTTTGAAGAACACAAAAAATATTTAATTACACATTTCAACTCAATAGACCGCTTAGATAATATTTTGTTTAAAAACAATATTTATATGTCTCATAGTTTTGTAGATGTTAAATCTACACACATGTGTACATTAGGACTCAAGTATCGCATGACACCTAAGATAGCACAAATGACGAAAACAACATACACAGCACTTTATAACACTTAATAATAATGTCTTAACACTTGAAACTGAAGAACTATTAGTAATCAATATTATTTAATTCTAAGTTCACTAGACCTACTAAAAACAATCAGAACATAAATAAACTCAAATTTATAAGAAATACATGGATCTCTAACCCACTGTACCCAAGGCTTTGTGTGAAATTTTAAGAAACATTATGTACACAAATGTGACCACCAGGTCTGAAAGGGTTAAGGTCGATAGAGAATAAATACTTACCTTTCGACCATTACTGTATATTACATGTAGAAGTAGTGACTAATAGACAGACACAATATGCGTGTCCGCTCCATACACAAAAATATTCCCCTACATTTTTCAGTAATTTCTTCGTATAGAAATATTTCCTTTCGAATTAAACCATCAGTTTGGTGACACACTGTCGATCTCTATCAAGATACAGTAGTTGCAGTTACTATCTAATCTAATTTCATCGAAGACACGTAATATCGGCGTCCAGCCAGGCTGAGCTCATTCACACCCTTCTAAAAACCTACGATTCTTTCCTGGTGACGAGGCTGTCTCTAAAATTGCCGCACCTGTATATTGTTTATAACGCGTGTATAAACGCCCGATCGGGTCCAACGTTTGTCCGCTCTTGTACCCACGCGAATTCCTTCATTCACGTTTAACAGTTCGATCGAACGCGTGTACCATTCATGACGTTGTTATTAACCTCCTTAGTCCTCATGAACGGACACATAGGCTTTCATAATTTTTTGCAAATATTCTGTCACTCATAACAAAGTTTCAAAATGCCTACCTTTATACAGTAGGTGTAGGTAGTGGACAAAAAAGTTACTTCTCTGATTTTTTTTTATTTTCATTATTTTTTAATATCAACATAAAATCTTAATATACTGGATTTTATACAGCGTTTAATTCTCTATCAGAATATACATATATTAACCATATACTAAAGTTTTAAGTTAAAGTCAAAGAGTAGTAAAAATAAAACAAGTGGTAACTTTTATGCCCGCTACTATATGTATTTATCAATTATATTTTATTCATATTTAAATATTATTGTCGTACAAATAATCTTCTCGAAAAGATTCACTCATTGTAGCAGGCATTTCTTATTGTTAGAAAATATGTTGAAATAAGAAGTGTGTTTATAGCTCGTTTTGTAAGAATAGCGTTGAACAATAGTAAATCTATCGAAACTATTTTTAAAACATATACAGGTAGGTCTCGATTAGTGCGAGAAATAAATCCCAGAAATTGATCGCGTTATTCGAATTCGTACTACACATTCGAATACTTGAAATATAGGGATTGGTTGTAATTTAAAGAAAATATATGTATAATAAAAATATTTAAATATACTTTTTTATACGTATTTTATTAAATTGTAATTAAAACAAAATACGCATAAAACATTAAGTAGAACGTAGTGTGCAAAAGACGTTAAGTAGCTTGACATGTCACGTCATCAATATGTAACAAGAAGTTCAGATACGGTTTACGCATCGCCTCTATGAAACAGAAGAAGTTTATAGGCCGTCAACACAAAAGATTAATTATTTCCACAGTTGTGTCAAATGAAAAAAGTCTCATTGAATGAATTTTTGTTTGCATTAAATGGGATCTGGTATTTTATAATTCGCACTAAATCGAATATCGCACTATTTGAACTCGTATTAATCGAAACCTTACTGTATGCTAATGGCACATTTAAGAAATTATGGTCTATAATAGCAATTACACTGGGTAGAGTACAGTAGAACATCGATTATCCGAATGCCGATTATTGAAAAGTCCAAGCATTCCAAATAATGATTATCGAAACACGTTACGAGTCACAAATGTTTTATCAGAGAATTAGTATAAAGAAAGCACTGGAATGATACCATGTACTATTTTCAAGCGAGCTTTAAGTAAACTATACAACGCTTTAATTAACTACATATACGATAAACTGGATTTGAAATTGGTAAAATATTCAAGATATAAAATCATACATGAAAATGACATTATCTATTGTTAACACGTTCCGTGCCACAGTGAAAAAAGCCGTACGTAGCCAGACAATCTTTATGTCGTTCCCCAAGTCAGACTTTTGTTAATAGAGGCTGTTGGTCTTGTTGTAAACTACAGTTCAACATTAAGACGTTCCGTGCCATATGTACCACCGATGGCACACGTTAAATTTCCCATTCAGGCTACGTGTACCACCGGTGGTACATGTGGCACGGAACGTGTTAATGAAGAAAGTAATGGCAAACCTGAAGAAATGGTCGTTAGTTGTCATTCGAATCTGTGTTATTATGCGATCTTGTAAGCATTAGGCTGAAAATAGGAGTTTGTAGAATCAAAATAAATTGAAAGGAATAGCATTTTGTTCTAAATATCTATACAAGGTGTGCAAAATCATCACTACAGACACGAATAATGAACTATCATTTACGGTCAATCGGTTAAACAATTGTTTATGCTCATTTTTACTATTAGAAGTAAAACATATTGTGCATTACTTTTACATACTTTAGTTTACTGTGTTTGCAAAATCTACTTGTTATCTGTTCAATTATACCTGGTTTTACTAGTGTGTTTCTTTTTTAAAATTTATTATAATGGTTACTATATCTTCAGTCAATTTATCGACTTCCTGAAACACTATAAATGTAGCACTTCGCTTTTTTAACGACTTGTATGATTAACACGTATTTGGCAATTGGACGAAATCTGATAAGATGCAACAAAAACTATGAAGAAATCTGAATTGCTTTTACAGTTGCAACCGATTTTGCATTAATCTGAAAATGTGCCTCGAAATTATTCATGTATTTTGGGCGCCTCCTACGATCGTGATCAAGAAGTATGACAACCCATTAAAAACCTGAATCAAATTTGGTCCGTGAGCCAGACAAGTTGACATAATGCGTAAATGTCCAAAGTACATTCACCCTCGAGCACCTGTCGGTGAAGTGATCTTAATTAAATCAGATAGGAATGACGATCACTACGCTGACAGCAAGAAATCATCGCAGAAGGTCATTGACAAGGTCTGTGCCTTGTCGTCGATGGAAAGTTACAGAATTCACATTAATAATGAAAAGCGACGATAAAATAAAATTATCCTTTCTCGTGTGATCACCTTGCCAATACAATATTTTTCTTTCAAAATAATAACGACGACTCCCATTATTTATATCATAAAAGCTATTAAAGAGATTTCAACGTTTGAATTTTCTAGCTTGTAAAACTTTGTAGATTCCCTGACGCCTTCCGTAACAAAAAGATCTCTATCACAAAATATCGGCAAAAGTTAGTGCATTTTAGGTGTTTTGTTCACTTTGCTCATTATTTAAACACATTTAGAGGTCAATAATATAATAACAATTTACATCATTTTGTTCGGGGGAGTCCAGAGAATTACTTCATCTGAAAATCAACTGAATAACTGTTACTATAAAAAGCACAAAACATCTCTAAAATTGCAAATATTCATAAAAAGCTGTATATTCTAGGGAAAAACGATTTGCAGATTTGTATTCAGTTCATAAAGAGCTATAAAAGACGCCTATTGAAGGTTGCAAAATTTGTTAGATGTTGAAGACTGTCATCATCGTGTGCAATCGTATATTTACAATTTTTTCTTTAAATTCTACAGAATTTAGAAGTTAGAGACTCAAAAAGATAAATTGTTACGTCTGTCCCCATTCTCCCCTACAGTCAAATACCCTCTTAACGATGTAACGTGTTCAATGTTCCTTGTTAGAAGCTACACGATAAAGCCGCTGCTTCACGGGCTTCAACAGTTGTTACTGTAAATATGTACAAAAATAGTATGTTACAAAACATCTCTAAAATTGCAATTTTTCCAATTTTTTTTAATTCATTTTTTCAAAAACTGTATATTCTGGGGAAAACGATTTGCAGATTCGTATTCAACTCATACAGATGTATAAGAGACGCCTATTGAAGATTGCAAAACTTTTTATCTGTTTAACTGTAATCAAGGCTTGATATGGTATACGATTTTTTGCTTAAATTCTACAGAATTTAAAAGTTACAGACTCAAAGACAGAAATATGTAGTTACGTTTGTCCCCAGTCTCCCCTACACTAAAATACTCTCTTAAGAGGTCATGCTCAGTCAGGAGGCCGAAAAAAGCGTGTTCTTCGGGAATTTTTTTCTAAAAAAATATACGACTTTTTTCAAAAAATGTGTTTGCGTTTCAATGATTGCAGTTTCTAGATTATAAGGTCATTTTTTTATTTAAAAATATTTATTAGTAAATAAATGGTGAGCGATCTCCCGGATGTCTCTCCACAAAAAGTGATCCGCCGTGATCACTGTAACTTCGTAACGGGTCATCTGAAATTAAAAATTCAGAAAGATTTATGTAATTACAGAACGAATCTTGTCCTTGAACGAAGGATGTTTGGAAATATTGATTAGGAACAAAATGGCGAACATTTTACTGAAAAAGTGCGATTTTCACCTAAAAAATCACTCGTTTTTGGTCAATTAAAAAAAAAGTATGGAACGAACAAAAAAATCCTTCGTTTAAGGACAAGTTTTTCTGATTTGAAATAAGGCGCAGAAGGCTTCATGTAAATCGACACAGTAATTTTCGAGAAATATTGATCACCGGTTTGAAAAATGTAGTTTCGAGAAAAACGCGTTTAAAGTTTCAAGTCAAGCTTACACTTATATGAAATGTTCATTTTTTAACGCCTGTAACTCTGTCATTTTTAATTGGATTACCTTGAAACTTGCACCGAACATTCTCGAGATGTTGTACTTAAAGAAAATGTAGAAAGTGAAAAATCGATTTTTTGAAAATTTCTGACTGAACATGACCCCTTAACTATGTAACGTGTTCAATGTTCATTGTTAGAAGCTATGCGATAAAGCCACCGGTTCACGGGCTTCAAACAAATAACTTCGCAGCAGAAACGCAAGCCGTCTGGAAGGGTAATAAGTGGGTGCACCGAATGACCTCATCCGCGGTGTGTCCGCACGACGATACGCGTTCTCCTTTCAACAGGAAACCGTTCAAGACCAGTCCCGGTCGGCTTAAACGTTGTCGGTCACTTTATAAATCGAGCGAATATCTACCGTGCGTATATGCGCGACGATTTATGGGAATTCGCACGAGCCGAAGTCACGATTATTAATTCCGGTGAACCCCGGCGAATCCAACGGCGAAGGTATTAATCACGTCTTTGAAACAAGTCCCTTAATGTTCTCCGATTTACCTGATCTCCTGTTAGGAAAATAATTCCTGGCCCCTTATTTATTGAATACGTTCCTCCCGTTTTAACAAATTGCCCGGGGAAAGAAATTTATGGTGTAAATTTCAGACTGCGTTCTTATATTCTAATAGCGCAATGATGAATTTTTTAATGTGTTCCATATGTACTTTGACATACAATTATCATTCAAACTATTTGTTATTCCATAAAATGATTCAAGTAAAACTTACTTTGTTTCGAGGGGGACAATCAATTATCTAGGTCAGGGGTCGGCAAACTTTTGAGACGGAAGAGCCAGACCTGTCCCTTACAACAATTTATAAATTATTTGAGAGCTATAAATATATTTTTATAAATAAGGAAAATATAAAGTAACATTATAACAAGTTCTAATATTAATTATATCTTTATTAAATGAAGAAAAAATCTTGGAAAAATTGCTCTCATTGATTGTATTTTCATTTTTAATTGTACTTCAGAGGCACATGTAAGTAGGTACCCAAAGAGCCGCATTTGGCTCGCGAGCCGCAGTTTCCGACCCCTGATCTAGGTGGATGTGCTTCCGAGATTTCGAGGTGACCTTTGATTTTTTAAACGGATCTATATATTTTCATTGAGGTAGACATGTAGACCATTCCGTGACGAATTCATTCACGTATTGGTCTTTGAAGGTCATTCAAGGTCATTTAATGCCGTTCAAAACTTACTTTTGTTGGGCGTTCCCAAGATTCCTGTTACCGAAGTATTCCGTTGATTCGGTCGAAGACAATGTTACTTACACTGGTACTGTTGTAAGTTTTGATCGATAATAAATAACCTTGAATGACTTTGAAAGACCAACGCGTAGGTCAATGAATTCGTCACAAAACGGGCTACACGTCTACTTAAATGAAAATATATGTGTTCATCTAAAAAAATAAAGGTCTCCTTGAAATCTCTAAACTCTAAAGCACATCCACCTAGATGAGACCTGTGAACATCATAAGATGTCTCCCTCGAAACAAAGTAAGTTCTGCTTGAAATATTTTTTGGAATAACGAATAATTCCGGTGATTATTGCGTGTAAAGGTTCAAATGGGACACCCTGTATACAGGATTCATCAGTTTCTCATAATTTAATCAATATCTCAAGACGACATTCAGAAGTTTTTCTGGATAGTTAATTTTTCTAGGAGAAATTTATATTAGGTAGTTTTTATATCGAATAACCTTATAAATAGTATCGAAATAGAAAAATAACTGGTCTAAAACTTAAAATGATTTCTTCCCTTCAGTAATATTATGTTTATCACACAATATTTTCTCAATTGCTTAAAGAAATATAGTGTATAATAATAGTAATACATACGAAAAATTGAATGTTTATACGATATCTATCTCTACAAACATAACCGGACTGTTTAATATTTTTGATTTTATAGTTTTTATATTTTCATGTTCGTACAATTTTGTAAGTTAGTATAAACGATTGTTGTTTATGATTAGACTCCGAATGTTAATGGAAATTCACAATTTCAGATACTAATATTCAAGAATGGAAATGCAGCAGAATTTGAAATTCTGCACTAGATGCTTTACTACGTTAATAATAACACATAAATAATTGTAAACATTATTGAAACCTTTATTTTAGTGTATTTTCCAAGTTAATCATTTATTACTTATTATCAGTTATGCTTCATTCAAATGATAAAATGGAGTCTAAAATTTCCAACCAATACTATTCATTCCCATGTAAACAACGCCATCGAAGAATTCAAAGGGGGGAATAATAAATTGTCGCATAGCGCATCATAAAGTATCCACCCACATTGCACCTTCTCACCTCTTTGCATCTTTTTCAGTCCATTTCTCCTGTTTTCGTGGAATGCGGCAGCAAATGTGTTCTTTACAAAAACTAAGAAACGTAAAAGGAATTTGTATTCTCGTGGTTCTGCTCCTTTATAGTAAAATCGCCATAAAAGCTGTAGAAATGATTAATATCAAACTGACAATCAGTGGATTCGGATTATGCAATTACAAATTATTATTACGACTACTACGACTGTTTCAGAAATCCCTAAGTATAAATGTTTTAAATCTTTTAAATGTTAACTAAACAAGTTGTGAAACAATGATTAAGGTATTAGCTAGTAATTATTGCTAATATCTCACATATTGCTAAACTAAAAATTATTTGAAGAATATTTGATTATCGCTTGTTACAATAAATTTAACAAAACTTAGGGAGTAGTGATTACTGTGTCATATTTTATTCTACTTTTTTATTATCAACCTCCTCATAAACCGACACAAATTTCGTAAATAATCAATTATCGTTCAAACATTTTTTTATTCTTTATCGATCCGTAAAAGTTTTTTTACAGTTAAAAGTACACGATTCTATTTAACGTGTTAACTGTTACGCCAATCATACGTTCATAACGTAAACTTTTATTACTCCTTGAATTAGTGAATGTAAAGACTTTATAAAATGTGACGCAATCATAAATATTCACACTGTGTAACATTTCAGAAAAAGATATCTATACAACGTATTAGAGTTTGCATAAGAAATTCAGATCTAGATTTTACTCTCCGTTGACGTTGATGATGCGATCAATTTACAGACACTACATAAAAACGAACACAAAACAAGACGCAATGTGTGTTTCCTTCGACAAGGTTCGCAATAATACCAAAAAGGATCGTTTCATTCACCCAAAATTTTCTATGGATTCCCGAAATTTATCATGGCTAGAATTCTGTAAAACCGAATTGTGCGCTTTTTACAAAACACAAAAAGCTTAAAATATACTGTT